GGGAAAGAGCACACGCCCTGTAGCAAAATAACTAATGATAAATATTAGTTTTTATTTTATTTTATTTTATTAGTTTCTATTTTCTTCCTTAATTTCCTTTCTTACATTCTCCCCCTTCTCTTACCCTCCTCCCATATGGTCTCTAGAATCTAAAACCATTTTCAATGCTTCTATGTCCTTCGACCTCTCATTCTCTACCGTAGAGTGCAGACAGTTGATATACATTAAGTGGAGACATACAATGTCATTCTTTCATAGCCTGGCTTGCTTCACTCAGCAGCAAATCTTCCATATTTGTCCACTTTCTATTGACTACCAAGGTCTTGTTGTTATTTATGGCTGAGTAGTATTCCATAGAGTATATGTGCCACAGTTTTTCAATCCATGTCTCTTCATGGACATTTGGGTTGGTTCCATATCTCCTCAGTTGTGAATAATGCAGCAATAAACACAGATGTGCATGTGCTTTTCTGACGGAGCATTCTCCTATCCGTTGGGTAGATACCCAGGAGTGGAACTGCTGGATCATATGGTAGCTCTATTTGAAGGTCTTTAAGGAACTTCCATATTGTTTTCCACAGTGGCTGGACCAATTTATGTGTCCACCAGCAGTGTAGGAGAGTTCCCCTTTCACCACATCCCCACCAGCACTTATCATTTATTGTTTTTTGAATCTCTGCCATTTTGACTGGGGTTGGGTGGTATCTCAGTGTGGGTGAGTCATGTCTTTTATAGCAAAGAGCTGCTTTTCAGGAACTTAGAGAAGGAAGTTAGTCAATCTGGCGTACACCTACGTTTACCAGGGACGAATTGCGAAGACCGAAAGACTACTGAGGGTATTAGGGCCGAGAGGGCCTTCCCACTCTTTCTCTGAAATGACCCATCCTTTCCTTTAGTCACAATGCAAAGCCACTTTCGAGAATTAATTTTGTGCGTATATGTGTGGTCACAGTGTGCAATGAGCATTTTAAAAATTAAACCAATTAAAGGCCTGGGCTCCCGGCAACACAGTTCCATATTTCTCCATGCTCGTGTGGGGCATTCTGCCTATCAGGCAGGCCATGTTACACATTTGAGACGCTGGCTTTCACGGCTTTGTTTATATTTGTTGGTTGAGGTTTTGATGTGTTTTTAATAGTCCTTCATTAAACTAACGGCCACTCAACAGTGGGGGACATGTGAATGCCTGATTGCTCAGCGCTGGCTGAGCCCGGAGGCTCCAGAGTTGTTTTAAGTGACTGGATGTTTTCGGTGGTCAGTGGAGGAACTGTGGAATCCTGCCCCAAACCAAGAGTGCTGGGGGAGAAGAAGAAGTCCAGGCTGAGGGCTCCGGAACAGCTTCTGCTAATGGGAGCCCGCTCGGGTCCTGTGTCTGAACTTAGGATGGCTTTTCATTTTCACCGGCAGGAAGCGTGTAAATGGATTTGTGTCTGCTGCATGACAGAATGTGAATGGTGGGGTGGAGGCAGGTGGAGGCTGATGGCCCTGGATGATCCCTCCCAGGCCCCTCTCTGGCCCCTCTGACATGAAATCTGCTAACATCATTCCTGTCTGCTGGGCATCCCAGAGCTGGGATTTTGAAATCTGAGGAACAGGCACTTTGGCATTCTTTAAATCCAACTATTACATCTTCTAGATAAGGAAATCGAGACCTAGAGAGAGCCAGTGGCTTGAGGGTAGCAAACACTGGCACGGTCAGAGTGGCGCTCAGAGGCGAGGCTGTTAGACCGGGGTTCTTGGGCGACTGTGGGCTACTTGACTCATTTGTATCCGGGTTCTATGACTGAGATGGAGCCCCCTCGCTCATCAGAGCTTGCCAAAGCCAGGACTGAGTGGCCATATTCCTTTCAATACATAAATAGTAGTTCGAGGTTTTCTTTCCTGATTTTAAAAGCAGTCATGGGCTGACTTTAAGTTTCGGTGGTTGGGGCAGCTGGATCCCTCATGGCCGACAACATGGTTCAAGTCCCCGATTTGACAGTTGGAAAAACACGTTAGGCACATGTGTGTGCTTGCCCAAAATCCCAAAAGGAGAGAGAGAGAGAGTAAGGGATTACGGTGTGACAGTTCCCCGTGGGGGGCGCTTTTTCCTGTCTCTCTCTCTCTCTCTGTGTCTCTGTGTCTGACAAGTACACGTGCCTTCTAGCCAAAAGAAATAAAATGAAAAATAAAATAGTCATATTCACCATGTTTCATACATTGAAAAAATGTAAAGGGAAACCTGGAAATTACTGGCAATCCTACACTCTTTTTTTTTTTTTTTTGAGAGATTTTCACTGTAGGGCATGTGCGCTCGCCAGACAGACAGAGAGAGACATAGAGACATAAAGCACACACACGCGCCCAGCGTGAGTTTTAAGCCACCGGGTCTGGGACACGAACCGCGGTCGACTACGTGGGAGTCCAGCGACATAGCCATTACGCTAACTGCTGGTTCCCGCAATCCTACACTTTTAAATAACCTGTGTTAATGTTAGGTTTGTTGTAAAAACAAAGTTTAAATCTTCTCTTTGAAGGTTCCCTCTGAGTCTGCTGAAATAAACGAACGATAACCATATTAACAGGAGAAAAGCCATGACCGATGTATTTGATCATGGTTTTATGTGACGGGCGCCTTTAGTTTGAAAACTCCCAAAGATGAAGGGTTTTTATGCTTGGGCTCTAGGAAGCATGGACACTGTACAGAAATGTGATTGGACAGAAGGCGTCTGAGTTCAAAGTACTGGACTTGAACCATGGTTGGCCATGTGGGAGTCCAGCGATGGAACCACTACGCCATCTGCTGGTCCCTGGCCCATATTTTTAGCAGAGGCTTCATAATACAGCTTCATCAACAGTGACCTAAAGTAGTAATAGCTGAGCAAGGTAGGCATTTCATTCTTACATAAAAATCCAGAATACTGCAGACAGACAACTCTATTCCTCAGAATTCTAGGGAACACGGGTTCTTTCCAGCACACTCAGGTGTCTTAGCCTGTTTTGTACCTTATAACAGAATAACTGAGACTGAGTAACTTATTGTGAGCAGAAATGTTTTGACTCATATAGTTCTAGGGGCTAGGAAGGCCTATATCAAGGCACCGGCAGGTCTGAACCACACAGGGGTTTTTTTTGTTTGTTTGTTTGTGTTTTTTTGGAGAAGTTTTTGCTATGGGGCACGTGCGCTTGCCAGAAAGACAGAAAGACACAGAGAGAGAGAGAAAGTGAGAAATCACCCCCCAGGGGGGATGGCTACGCCACAATCCCTTCTCCTCCGTTCTCCTCTCAGGATCTTGGGCACGCGCACACACACGCACCCAGCATGAGTTTTAAGCCATTGGGTCCGGGACTCGAACCACAGTTGACTACATGGAAGTTCAGCAACACAGCCATTACGCCAACTGCTAGTTCCCGCCGGATGGCTTTAAAATCACACTAGTTGCATGCGCATGCCCAAGATCCTGGAAGGAGAATAGAGAAGGGATTGCAACTTGCCCCCCCCAAGTGTGTGGGGGGGTGATTTCTCACGTTCTCTCTCACTGTCTCTGTCTCTCTGTCCAGCAGGCAAACAAACAAACAAACAAAACTAAAATAAAAAACAGACTGAGTTTCAGTGGGGCAGTTTATCCCAGTTGGTAAGCATGTTTGCATATCCTTAGGTGGTGTGGGCTGGTTCTCTAGTTAGGTGTTTTTACGGAAGGTGGGGGAGGAGGAGTTGAACCCTGTCTACCCCACCCCAGCTCAGAATTGCAAAGACTGCACTTCAAGGTGGATGATTGCCTCTGAGAATTGTCATCACCCAGGAAATGGGGACGGGTTTAAGCATGTCTGTCTCCTGAAAATCATGATATTTTTAGCTCCAGAATAGTTTAAAGGAGATTTAAATGCACAGTGGGTAATGATAACTTTCACAGCTGAGCGATCTCGGAGGACATCTGCCCGGATGCTATTCAAACACGCTCTGACTGGCTCAGTGTGTTTATTTTTCTTCTGACAGTGATAAGTGGTGGAGAGAGAGTGCGAGGATGTCAAGATCCATCGGAAGGAGATTAAACTGGGTCGGGTCCAGGGCTCTCCTGGAGGCGTGGCGTTCACCCTGCAGCGGGCTCTGTGCGCCCCCTGGTGGGGAGGTTAGACGGCTAGTGGACGCTCTGAGGTGCTCCAGACCCACGTGCCCTGCAGTGAGGGCTCACTGCAGCTGGCACCCCGATACCCTCTGCCTGCCCTGGGTCCTCACCTGCCTTTTCCCTGAATGCAGAGACAGGGCAGCTCAGGGCTGGACTATGCGTCCTGCTCAGATGGTCCCAGTGACAGAGAGCTCACCTTAACGCTTTCCAGTTAGGTCGGCTCTTCCCGTTACCAGGTTCTCATCTGGGCCTAGCGGTTCATCAAGCCAGATCCCACGTGGCCAACT